TGCACCATATAAATAAAAATACTTTGTTGAATTTGACATAATGATCCACCCATTCATCTCTACTTGTCAACATTGGAATGAAATCTTTTCCAAAAAAACATTTTTTTTACTCTTTCAACTCAATATCCTTGGTGTTCTTTCTAAAAAAACTCAATATAATTCCTCTATAGTTATTGGGTGACTTCATAAGCATAATATTGCATATCCAATTACAATGTACTAAGCTAGAGTATTCTTCTTTAAAGAAATTAAGTCATAATGCATTATATCTCTTTCCAATCCTTTCAATGTTGGTCACATGACATTGTGAATTATATGTATGCAAAAAATGATTCCTCCTCATCTACTAATCCAATTATCTTAATAATAATAGTGTTGAATTTCTTTTGATCAAGGAGGATCGAGAAAGAATCACTTAGTATTAATAATGTGATCATCGATCTCAAATTACTTCACTAACTTTCCCATCATTTTCTAATTTAGCTTCAAACTTATTTAAATCTTATTCTTACTATGTTTGACTCAATTTTTTTTTAATACTAGTCCTAATTTGAGTTTTATTCAAAACTTGGTCGATTCTATTTTAACCATAGTCCAATCATATTTAAATCACGCTAAACTATGTTTGAACCTTGCAAGTACCTTATTCCAATAATGATCACTCATTCTTTGAACTTTGTTCAAACTTTTTTTAGTTTTCCTTCAGTTATTTTCAAACTTAATCCAAATTTTATTTTAAATATCTTGAACCTTGTTTAACTCCTTGTCAAATCTTATTCAAAAGCACTAATAATATTTGATCAATATTCAAAGATATTTTAAATATATTTGTAGTACGTGATATGATGTATAATATCATTCTAAACTCAGATTTTATGTGGCGATTGGTGTATTCAAATTTACAAAATCAAACATATATCATCATCAACTTTGAAAATTTTGTTAAAGAAGAAGGCAAAAAATTTGTTGTAGACCGATCATATACAATTAGATTTTAAATAAATTTGGCATTGAGAATAGAATTGATGATACTCTTTTTTATAAGTTCACTTGATGCCTTGCCCTTTATTGAATAAGAGTTTAGGATCCCATATTTTTAGAAAGAGAGAACATTTCGATGTAAAATAGAATTTTGAATAATATTTTTAAAATATAAATAATGAGCTTATTTTGTCAATTATTGTTATTATCTCATTTAAATGTACAAAAAACCAAAATTTTAAAGTCAATTTTCTCATTGCCTACACGGGTCAAACAAATCACTAAAATGCCATTCAGGTCCAATTCCCTATCCACAAAATGTCCGCCCTAATTCTGTTCCTTCTCTTCGCTCTGTACTGCCATACATTCTCCAACGCCTCCCTTACCTTCTCAGTCTTCGACTTCGGAGCCGCTGGCGATGGCATCCATTACGACACGAACCCTATACAATCCGCAATCGATACATGCGCTTTCTCTGGTGGCGGACGCGTCCTCTTCCCCACCGGAGGCGACTACCTCACCGGCACGCTGTTCCTGCGGTCCTATGTAATCCTTGATGTGGAGCGCGGAGCAAGGATTTTGGGTGGTACCAGGGAGGAAGACTACCCTAAGGAGTCATCGCGGTGGTACGTTGTGCTCTCGGAGAACGTTACAGGGGTGGGGATCACCGGCGGCGGAGAGATTAACGGGCAGAGTGAGGCATTTGTGATTCGGCCTGATGTGAGGAAGAATGTGATGGTGAGCTGGAACCGTACTGGGGCGTGTTTGGGAGACGAGTGCCGGCCGAGGTTGGTCGGGTTTGTTGATTCGAATAATGTGAGGGTTTGGAATATCACGCTGAACCAACCAGCTTATTGGTGGTAAGACCTAAGAAGAGCCATCAGATTGGCTTTTGCAATTTTATCTCATCTTTTTTGATTGGTTACGATGCATTTTGAGTTTTTTATAATTATTCCTATATTAGTAAGCCAGGAATGTGTCAAAACAGTCCCCGCACTCTTTACATGGGGTTATTTTTGTCTCCAAGTCTATAAAGGTATCAATTTGCTTCTCCGACTTTACACAAAGTACTATTTCAGTTTCAATATAAAGAGTATGGGACTAATTTGATATATTATTCATAAATATACTATATGAATAATAAATAAACTTCTATATTTCATTCATCTCAAAATTAATTTAATTATTTAAAATCTCAGCCATATCAAATTTTGATTAAGATGACTTCACCTAATCTTATCCACTTATTTATATATTGTTGCATCTTGAGGATAGATGGACAGATTAGACAACTTAAATCTATTATTTGTTTTATAGCATAAGTTTATTTATTACCATTAATCCTATAGTTTATTTTAGATAAATTTTATTTTTGATTTTGGTTTTTCTTTTAAAAATAAGTTAGTTCAGTATGATTTGCACATGCTTTTATTTTTATATAAATTATTATATTTTTAAAAATGCTCGAAGCAATTTATAAATAATTTGACAGCAACAAAAAACAACAAGCCTTTATTCCTGTGGGTTGGTCGGCTTCTTTTTCTTCCATTGCGTCCTATT